CGAGAAGGAGTGGGAACACAGCTGGTTCACTTAACTATTGTGTGCCCGCTCCGTCATGGGCTCTACTACTAACCACAAGGTCGCCAACTGGTGTTTCCGGTGTCCAGTAACACGTCAGTGGTTTTGTTGAATTGTGGCAACAGTGGCAAGGACACACTCAATATGTCTGATATCAGGCAGGTATTTACTTCTATCACGATCTGCTGTCAGGTATTATATAGCCACAAGAAATATGGAGGGGATGATATAAACACCAATATACTTTGTATTTTACTTAAAACTCATTCAAAGACATCACAAGATTATATCAATAAGCAAACAGCTGTTTCAGGCAGAAGTCGCTCGTTCCCACATATAATCATGAACTCGCCAAGCCGGCAACACTCCCCCTCACGTCAATGTCAAAATCAGCTGGGCGACTACCCCCGCGCGAATGTTATTTTATCTGTTTGCTTGTGGCGTGACGCGCCAGTTTCTTTAAGTTCTCAAAGATCACTAGAAGTTCGAAAACACAATATTTGCGACAATAGCACGTAAACACTTCGCTGCACTGATCTTGAGCTCAATCAAACATCTCTATATTAATAGACACAATAACTCACTATCATAGTATAACATACTGCCCTTCATTTAATGATAACGTATGCAAGTATCTATCACTGGAGTTCTCAGTAATTCCTTCCGTGGGCGATAACACAATTAATCACTGCACACATGAATGATTATTCAATACACAAGCATAGACATATATATATATGTGGATGAGTCATAGACATCAATAATGGTAATAACATAGTTACTGGGCACATAGCCTAACTCCAAATACTGGCATATTTATATATATATATTCTCTCACTAAATGATCATATTAAAGTCTCATGAAAGACGTTATCAACACAGTAAATTCATCAATTACTCCGGGTGCCTGCATACACTAATAATAGTAATAAATACCGTGAGCACTCTATATAGTCCCACTCTGCACACTGGTGCCTTACTGTGACAAAGGTGAGCCTTGCTCACGACATACAAAATACTCAGGCTAAATAATATAGCTGACTAAAGGGGAATTGGGAGGGAAACTAGAATCACTTACTTCCACCTATCCTCCGGTGAGAGTTGAGTTGTAGCTCCCGGTCCTGGCTCCTGCCTCGTGTAGGGAACGCCCCCACACACACACACTGTCGTGTCCTCCAGGAACTCAATCAACATCCCACCACAAACGAGTCGTCTCCGTGCCTTTTCACAACAGGTCCGTGCTCCTCCTCGACTTCTTGTAGGGTTGGAGTCGGTCTCCCAGCCGTCAACTTTTCCTCCCAGCTACGGCTGCCTGCCTACGTCTCGGCTGCAGTCGTTCGGATTCCCGAATAGTTTTCTTCTTCCTCTGCTTCCCGGTGGCTCGGTCCAGCCACTACGCCGTCACAAACGGGTGAACTGCCTCGGACGTCACATACGTCGCTGCACAGTCTTCACTTTTTCTTGCACAGTACCTGTCCTGGAGCACTTGTTGCTCAATATCTCGTCGATTCCCTCTCTGGTCCGACACATGAACGAAGGAAGACCTCACAGAGTACTTGCAGACTTCGGGTGACGCGTAAAATCCACGGGAGCGGGAAACAACTGTCAAACTGACAGGACCAATCTTCGCACGTCCAACCACCTTGACGTGTCGTGTCTGACTGATGGCACCGCCGTGGCGCTATGACCGGACTCCCTTTCCTTCGTGACGTCACATTCGCCATGGGAGGTTTTCATTGGCTCCCTGTGCCACATCGCTGTCGGTGACCAATCGGGTGTCACTGACGTCACACAGTTTTGGCGGCAAAACAGAAGAGCCAGCGCCATATTGGCTTCCTAAAGGGCCTAAACCACAGGCCAGAATACTCTTCTTTTACAAATTTCTCGGCACTCCGAGAACACTACATTCTCCCACATATACCAAACTGATGCCTGCGACGTAGAGAACGCTCGGGTAAAGTGGACATGACTCTTACTGCAGGCGTGGGAGAAATATAAGGCGGGGAACACCGTCACACCACCATACACCAGTTGGTATAGTGACCACTATACACCAGTTGGTATAGTGACCATCATACACCTGTTGGTATAGTGTCTACCATACACCAGATGGTAGTGTCCACCATACAACAGTTGGTATAGTGACCACCAAACACCAGTTGGTATAGTGTCCACTATACACCAGTTGGTATAGTGACCATCATACACCTGTTGGTATAGTGTCTACCATACACCAGATGGTAGTGTCCACCATACAACAGTTGGTATAGTGACCACCATACACCAGTTGGTATAGTGACCACCATACACCAGTTTGTATAGTGACCATCATACACCTGTTGGTATAGTGTCCACCTAACACCGATTGGTATAGTGTCCACCATACACCAGTTGGTATAGTGTCCACCATACACCAGTTGGTATAGTGTCCACCATACACCAGTTGGTACAGTGTCCACCATACACCAGTTGGTATAGTGTCCACCATACACCAGTTGGTATAGTGTCCACCTTACACCAGTTGGTATAGTGTCCACCTTACACCAGTTGGTATAGTGACCACCATACACCAGTTGGTATAGTGTCCACCATACACCAGTTGGTACAGTGTCCACCATACACCAGTTGGTATAGTGTCCACCATACACCAGTTGGTATAGTGACCACCATACACCAGTTGGTATAGTGACCACCATACACCAGTTAGTATAGTGACCACCATACACCAGTTGGTACAGTGTCCACCATACACCAGTTGGTAGTGTCCACCATACACCAGTTGGTATAGTGTCCACCATACACCAGTTGGTATAGTGTCCACCTTACACCAGTTGGTATAGTGTCCACCATACACCAGTTGGTATAGTGTCCACCTTACACCAGTTGGTACAGTGTCCACCATACACCAGTTGGTATAGTGTCCACCATACACCAGTTGGTATAGTGTCCACCATACACCAGTTGGTATAGTGTCCACCATACACCAGTTGGTATAGTGTCCACCATACACCAGTTGGTATAGTGACCACCATACACCAGTTAGTATAGTGACCACCATACACCAGTTAGTATAGTGACCACCATACACCAGTTAGTATAGTGTCCACCATACACCAGTTGGTATAGTGTCCACTATACACCAGTTGGTATATGGTGGACACTATAACAACTTTGTTGGTATATACTATACCAAAGTGAATACTTTGTATTCACAAAGGCTTGTGAATTATTTGTTTGCAATACTGAGTCCTCAGTGGGCACAAGTGTGTTCAGGTTAGTTCAGTACGCAGCCGCACAGCAATGGACCGGAGTCGTTGCTATTTAGCTGTTGTTATAGTGCCATTTGATGGACATTAACGTAACGTAAACTTAATGTTGTAGTAGTTTAGTCTCCTGTAAATAAATTGTTTTGGATTAGAAAACGGTCTTTGATGTCAACCTTTCAACCATTCTTTTTCACTCATGTTCTGCTTTATACTATTGTTACAATGTGATCTTTTTTTTAAATGACGGCTGTTCTTGGGAATTTCGAATTCCAATTCATAGCACCGCATCAAATATAAAAATTTGATTGTGAGAACCCGTTGAATAATCTTTATTGGTTTTAACGTTCTTTTTTTTTTTTAACTAGGAGGAACCAGCGGCCTAAGTGGACAGGTTTTCACCCTTGTGGTGGAAGCCTGGCGGTTTGCTCCCGCTTTTCCTTTTTCTATTGGTCTCATGCTTAGAGTAGAAATATCTGCAGTGTGCAGTTCTTTATGCTTGAGGTCCACCTCCTAAGGTAGGTAGGCGTAGAAAAAAAATCTCACAGATACACAGTAGCAACCTACACATACCGACGACTGTGATTCAGTTCAGAGTAGCCAAGCTATCACCGCTTACTCACGAGTGAGAATCAATTAATAAGTATTTTACACAAAAAAACTTCAGTCTCAAATTTAAAAAAAATAATATTTGAAGCACGTTTATATATAAATATTTTTCTTAATCTTTAAGCAAAAAAGTAGTTCTTATAAAAAACTAGCAAAAGTTTATCAAATATTTCAAATTGCTCATAAAGGTATACAATATTTTGTACATTCTATTTAATTTTATATATAAAATAATATTTAGCTAGTAAATGGTTGTAAATAGAAAGATAAAAAGCAATTTATTTGCTTGGCCTCCCTCACTCCAGTGATAGATGGTAAAGTTGGTTTTTTATACATTTTTAAAGGGTGATTATAATATTCACAAAATATTGTGCTCATTCATTGTTTCGAGAGAAGTGCGATGCTGGAAGATGACCATTTGACGATGGGTCATGACTATAAGCGCACCCTTTCTCTCCTCTTCTAAACCTTCTTTCTCTTTTACACGACGACCACTAGGAAGCCTCGTGATGGTGCGAGTCACCAAATTCCTTTGGGTTGCAACTACACTATCCTGAGAACACGGTACACAGTAGTTAAGTGATCCCTACTTAATTACGACAGTGACGACCAGTGGGCCTCAGAACACGGTGCACAGTAGGTAAGTGACTCTCACTAATGACTGTGACGACCACTGGCTTCCGAAAATGGTGCACAGTATCTAAGTGATCCCCACTTACGGACAACTGTGACGACCAGTGGCCTCAAAACAAGATATACAGTAGCCAAGTGATCCCCCCTTACTGACAACAGTGACGCCCACTGGCCTCAGAACACGGTGCACAGTGGTTAAGTGATCCCCACTTACTAACGACTCAGACGACCACTGGCATCAGAACACTGTACACAGTAGCTAAGGGATCCCCACTTTCTGACAACAGAGACGCCCACCGGCCTCAGAACACGGTGCACAGTAGCTAAGTGATCCCTACTTACTGATGACCAGAGGCCTCAGAACACGGTGCACAGTGGCTACGTTATCCCCACTTACTAATGACTGACGACCACGGGCATCAGAACACGGTACAAATCAAATCAAATGTTTATTCAGGTAAAGTACATACATACAAGGTGAGAGAAATTCAAGAACGAACTGACAATGAATCTTCAACCCAGGAAGGCCACCCAGCACCTCTTTCTATCAAATCTTCAGGGACCATTGTACTAGTCCCCGACCCTTCAAATCCATTGTCGGATGATGCTCCAGCTCCTGGTCCGGTCTCGGACATTACTGTGAACGTTACTGAACCTACTGCAGCTGTAACACCTGCTCCTGTTACGGCATCAACCCAGAAGCCGACGACTTCTTATCCACCATCTCCTGCTACATCTCCACCCACAGTACATACATCCACTGAACCTTCTACACCTGCAATAAGTCCTGCTGTTGCTACTAAACCATCGGGAGCTTTACTTCCACGACCCACATCTGCTAGTATGTACTCATCTGACTCAGCAGATGAGGATGTCTCCGTGGGAACGCCATCTCCACCATCACGGAAATATTACTTCTCAGCTGCCGATTTCCTTCACGACACTACACCAACAGCCTCTAATGACAGCACAACAATGTCAACACGAAGTCGGACCGCCAAGAAGGACAAGCAGAAGACGAAGACCAAAGATCAGAATTTGCTGCAACCATCAAGAAAGAAGTAAACCAATGACATAATCAACCTTCAACTACCATCAACTGCCAGCTGCTTGGGAGCCCGGCCCCTGTGTGTACTGCAAATGACGCCCCACTCAACCCTACTTCACTCTACTCAAGTTCAAACCCACGGTGGTTGGGCCACCGATCTTTCATCTCCCCTCTTCACCTCGTCTCCAGTTCCTCGCTCAAGATTTCTGCATCGTCGCCCTGTTCGTCCAACCCCTGCTTGCCAGCTCTTTGGACATTTTTACTTTACTTTACAAGGTGAGATACAAACATTGATGGATTTGTGGATAAAGCTAGTACATACAATGCCTAAAGCAACTTTTACGCAAAGCGTTTCGGGCAGGGAGACGGCTTAGCTACACAGTAGCTAGGTGATCCCCACTTACTGACGACTGTGAGGACCAGTGGCCTCAGAACACGGTACACAGTAGCTAAGTGATCCCTACTTACGACTGTGTGACGACCATTGGCGCAGTGAGGCACTAGGGTGTAGTGAGGCACATTGGTGTAGTGAGATACTCTAGTGTAGTGAGACACTCTGGTGTAATGAGGCACTCTGGTGTAGTGAGACACTCTGGTGTAGTGAGGCACTCTGGTGTAGTGAGGCACTCTGGTGTAGTGAGGCACTCGGGTGTAGTGAGACACTCTGGTGTAGTGAGACACTCTGGTGTAGTGAGGCACTCTGGTGTAGTGAGACACTCTGGTGTAGTGAGACACTCTGGTGTAGTGAGACACTCTGGTGTAGTGAGACACTCTGGTGTAGTGAGACACTCTGGTGTAGTGAGGCACTCTGGTGTAGTGAGGCACTCTGGTGTAGTGAGGCACTCTGGTGTAGTGAGGCACTTGGGTGTAGAGAGGCACTCTGGTGTAGAGAGGCACTCTGGTGTAGTGAGACACTCTGGTGTAGTGAGACACTCTGGTGTGGTGAGACACTCTGGTGTGGTGAGACACTGGTGTAGTGAGACACTCTGGTGTAGTGAGACACTCTGGTGTAGTGAGGCACTCTGGTGTAGTGAGACACTCTGGTGTAGTGAGACACTCTGGCGTAGTGAGACACTCTGGTGTGGTGAGACACTGGTGTAGTGAGACACTCTGGTGTAGGGAGACACTCTGGTGTAGTGAGGCACTCTGGTGTAGTGAGGCACTCTCGTGTAGTGAGACACTCTGGTGTAGTGAGGCACTCTGGCGTGGTGAAGCACTCCTACATTTTTACTCCCAACTTACTGACAACTGTGACGACCACTGGTCTGAGAACACGGTGCACAATAGCTAGGTTATCCCTAATTACTGGTGACTGTGTGACGAACAGTGACCTCAGAACACAGTAGCTAATTGATCCCCACTTAATGACGACCACTGGGCTCAGAACGTGGTGCACAGAAGGTAATTACACATGCCAACTACAGTGATCTCAGTTCAGAGAAGCCAAGCTTTGACCAATGACTTATGAGTGAGAATGAATTCACGTATTAAAATTTATAGGTATTATACTCAAAAATTTAAAATTATAAAAGATGTGCATTTTTAATTAACAAAGTTTGTAAATAATAATAATAGTTATATAAAGTTTTTATATAACTTTTGTTTTAGTTTTTATACAATACTGCCATACGAGATTAAGTGATATAAAAGCTTTCTACAAACCTTTATACAAATTTATAAAGGACTATTAATACATATTTGAATTAATATTTTTGCTAAGAATTGATTATAATTAAGATAATATAAATACTATTTATTTATTTGCTCTCCCTCACTCAGGAGATAGCCAGTAGTTTTTTTATATCTTTAAAGGGTTACTAAAATATTCAAATATATTGTGATCATTCATTGTTTCGAGAGAAGTGTGATGCTGGAAGATGACCATTTGTTGATGGGTCATGACTATAGGCGCACCCTTTCTCTCCTCTTCTAAACCTTCTTTCTCTTTATACACGACGACCACTACGAAGCCTCGTGATGGTGCGAGTCACCAAAACTCCTGTGGGTTGCAACCACACTGGTCTCAGAAGACCGTACACAGTAGCTAAGTGAGCCCTACTTACGTACGACTATGACGACCACTCGCCTTAGAATACGATACACAGTTGCTAAGTGATCCCCAATTACTCAAGACTGTGACGACCAGTGACCTCAGAACACGGTACACAGTATCTAAGTGATCCCCACTTACTGACAACAGTAACGCGCACTGGCCTCATAACACGGTGCACAGTAGCTAAGTGGTCCCTACTTACTGATGACTGTGTGACGACCAGTGGCCTCAGAACACAGTGCACAGCAGCTAAGTCATTCCCCATTTTATGACAACTAATGGGCTCAAAAAAGTGGTGCACAGTAGATAATTATATATACCAACAACTGTAACCTCAGTTTAAAGTAGCTAAGCCATCAACATTTTCTGAGTCAATTATTATGAATTATATTAAGAAAAAAAGTATTATAATTTTCTGTATCATTAAAGCACGTTTATAAATAAATATTTTTATTTAATTTTTAATTTTTATTTTTAGTTTTTATACAAAATTTTAAAAAACTAAAATTTTTGAAATTGCTTTCAAAACTTTTTTTTTTACTTTATATATGCTATTAATTTTTAATACAAGTTATTATTTTCCAACGAATTATTTGTAATCAGGAAGACATAAATGCTATTTATTTGCTTTTTCTCCCTACCTCGAAAGGAAAGCTGTAGTGTTGTTTATTTTTATATATTTTTAAAGGGTAACTATAATATTCACAATGTATTGTGTTACTCATTGTTTCGAGAGAAGTGCGTTGGTGGAAGATGACAATTTGTTGGTGGGTCATGACTATAGGCGCACCCTTTCTCTCCTCTTCTAAACCTTCTTTCTCTTTATACACGACGACCACTAGGAAGCCTCGTGATGGTGCGAGTCACCAAACTCTTGTGGGTTGCAACCACTGTTCTCAGAACACAGTACACAGTAGCTAAGTGATCCCCACATACTGACATCCAGTGACCTCAGAACACGGAGCGCAGCATCTAAATATTCTCAACTTACTGACTGTGTGACGACCACTGGCCTCAGAATACGGTGCACAGTAGATAAGTGATCTCCCCTTACTGACGCCCAGTAGCCTCAGAACACGGTACACAGTAGCTAAATGATCCGTACTTGCTGATGACTGTGTGATGACCAGTGGCCTCAGAACACTGTGCATAGTAGATAAGTGATCCCCCTATTTAATGATGATTACTAGGCTCAGAACGTGGAGCACAGTAGCTAATTACGCATACCGACGACTGTAATTTCAGTTCAGAGAAGCCAAGCTATCACCAATTACTGAAGAGGGAAAATCCAGTTCTGAATTTAATTACTATAATTATCAAAAATTTTAAACTTAAATTTTTTTACCAAAAATCAGTATAGATTAAAACATTTTTATATATAATTTTTCTTTCATTTTTGAAAACATACTAAAGGTTTTATTCAAAGCTTAAAATTCGTTAAAGTAATTTTAAAATCACCCTAAAAATTTTTATTATTTTACAAATACTATTTACTTCCAATTGAAAATAATGTTTGTCTAAGAGATTCTTGTAATTAGGAAGATATAAATGCAATTTATTTGCTTATCCTCCCACACTCCAGAGGTTGACTATAGTACTGTTTTTTATACATCTTTGAAGGGTAACTAAAATATTCACAATGTATTGTGATCAGTCATTGTTTCGTGAGAAGTGTGATGCTGGAAGATGACCATTTGTTGATGTGTCATGACTATAGGCGCACCCTTTCTCTCCTCTTCTAAACCTTCTTTCTCTTTATACACGACGACCACTAGGAAGCCTCGTGAGATTAATTCGGGGCTTTGCATCCCAGCGGCCCAGTCCTCGAACAGGCCTCCTTTTTGCTACACCACCCCAGGAAGCAGCCAGTAGCAGCTCTCTAACTCCCAAGTACCTATTTACTACTAGGTGAACAGGTGCATCAGGGAAAAAGAAACTTTTTGCCCATTTGTCTCCGCCTCAACCGGGGTTCGAAACCGGAACCTCAAGATTACGAATCTGAAGCGCTGTCCACCCAGCTGTCAGGCGCCCTACCACCTATCGGCGGCCTAATGACGCCCACCTAGTGATGGTGGGAGACACCAAACTCTTGTGGGTTACAACCACACTGGCCTCAGAACACGGTGCACAGTAGCTCAGTGATCCCTACTTACTGACGACTGTGACGACCACTGGCGTATTGAGGCACTCAGGTGAGGCGAGGCACTCTGGTGTGGTGAAGCACTCAGGTGTAGAGAGGCACTCTGGTGTAGTGAGGCACTCTGGAGGAGTGAGGCACTCTGGAGGAGTGAGGCACTCTGGAGGAGTGAGGCACTCTGGAGGAGTGAGGCACTCTGGAGGAGTGAGGCACTCTGGTGGAGTGAGGCACTCTGGTGTGGTGAAGCACTCTCGTGTAGTGAGGCACTCTGGTGTAGTGAGTCACTGGTGTAGTGAGTCACTCTGGTGTAGTGAAGGACTCTGGTGTAGTGTGAGGCACTCTGATGTAGTGAGTCACTCTGGTGTAGTGAGTCACTCTGGTGTAGTGAGGCACTCTGGTGTAGTGAGGCACTCTGGTGTAGTGAGTCACTCTGGTGTAGTGAGTCACTCTGGTGTAGTGAGTCACTCTGGTGTAGTGAGGCACTCTGGTGTAGTGTGAGGCACTCTGGTGTAGTGTGAGGCACTCTGGTGTAGTGAGGCACTCTGGTGTGGTGAGGCACTCTGGTGTAGCGAGGCACTCTGTTGTTGTGAGTCACTCTGGTGTAGTGAGGCACTCTGGTGTTGTGAGTCACTCTGGTGTAGTGAGGCACTCTGGTGTAGTGAGGCACTCTGGTGTAGTGAGTCACTCTGGTGTTGTGAGTAACTCTGGTGTAGAGAGGCACTCTGGTGTAGCGAGGCACTCTGGTGTAGAGAGGCACTCTGGTGAAGCGAGGTACTCTGGTGTAGAGAGGCACTCTGGTGTAGAGAGGCACTCTGGTGTATCGAGGC